TACTAATTTTAATGATTAGGTACCAAGTAATATCAAGAATTAAGTATTTAACTGTATTCACATCACATCCATGATGAAAATAAATGAATGAATAAGTACCTAGTAAGTACTTTCTTCCTCTAAGTAAAATATTATAAAAATTCCTCTCCAGAAWGTTATAAATAAATGGACATTTTCTCATATTTAAAATAAATTTAATCGTTTTTAGTCTATGACTCTATGTTAACAACTTGAAATATAAATTGAGCCACACATTTATATTTGATTTATCTGTTAGGTCTATAGGCCAATAGCAGGTACATACATTTTTGTTGAGGCAAAAATATATAGCTAGGTCTAAATGCAGCACAATAGCGAATATATGTTGGAGGAGTGAAATATATTATAAATCTTGGTAAGAACATTATTMAATTTTATAAAAATTAAAATATCCTAAAAGAAACGGAGAGAAATGTTTTATGTTCTTAGCTTAAAATTTTATAATAAGTGAAWTTACTCTAATATTAAAAATAATAACAYAGATCGAGGTGGTCCTGCTAAACATAAATTTGATGTGTTGCGTCATATATCGGGTCAGAAAGAGAGAGAAGATCATGGTGCACTAGCTGATATCTTCTTACTAACCCACCCATCATAATAATATTTATATAATAGTAGGGTTATTATTATTACCTATTATTTTAAATAACAAATTACCGGACATTTTCATATTATATTCTTATGCCTTTAACTTATATATAGCATACCTATAATTGGTCTAACGAAAAATTATAACAAATTAATAATAAATATAATATAATACACACTAGCTATTACCTAATTAATACTATAATACTTAATAAAAATGAATAAGAGCGCAAATGTTAAGAGGAATCAAGTTAATGGCGACTAAATACGAACTAATTTGATTTAATATAGTTAACTTCTAAGTTCTAACTATGTAAGGCATATTAAAAGTATAATACGTTCATTATTACAGTCCATGTGCACAGGTTACATAGGTACAAGGTTATTGCCTTATCATTTAACCTAGGTGTAACCTCTAGTATATGAAATATAATAATGATAAATTTACTAATAGGAAAAAACAGGTTAAAAAAATAAGTCAAATGAAAGATAGATACCTCATAAGTAATACATAAGATATATTTTGAACGTTTTAAATTACAATTAAAAATGCTCAAGACATACAGAAAAATTGAAATATGGTAAAAAAACATAACGTTCTTATTTTTAACTTATAATAATAATTATAGTTTAATAACAGGTCGATTCACTGTAATATTATAAAGCCGCGCGTTATCACCTGGGTGTGTCCACACCAAATAATTTTTGATTTTTTTTTTAAATAAATCAAGGTATTAACCGATTTTTGCAAAAATCATGAAATTGAGTTTTTAAGCCCTACATAGCTGCTAATTACTATAGGTATGTGGGCCGTAAGAATAATATAGGAATGTAATATTATTAATTATTAATTATTCTGTGTCTATATTTAGTGTTTTTTTCTACGTATATTTTATCAGATTTCATTAGGTATCTCATCTRATTACAATAAAATGYTTTAATACGTACTCAATATCAATTAATTCCTAAATTGATTTAAAATTKAACAATTACCTGYACAAAAGATAAAATTGGCACCTAGGTGGCTACTTAGCTTAAARATATTCATTTTAGTARAAAATGTATTTTACGAGGATATCTATAACAATATTTATTTTTACAAACTTATCATATCATATACATTAAATTAATTTGGTATGGACCTCCTAAAGGATTAAATTTAGTGTTGGGAAAGTTACTTTTGAAAGTATCAAGGTATCTAAAATTCTAAAATAATTTAAATTAGGTAGTTCACTATAGAAATTATAATGACATTTCTTAATTGCACAATATATTATACTTAAAAATCA